AAGTAGTTACAGGATCTTTAAGTGTTGAAGTCATTTTTATGATATAAAAATTTGAGGTAGTACTTGTCCAAGAAAATCTAAAGTGATCTTTTTTTTTCTTTGCTGTTGCCTCAGCCAGTTCTGTTTTACAAGACCTTTGGTATATACAAAATCTATCAGGCTTACGCTGTTTACTAGCTACTCTTCGAGTACTTATCCAGTTATAGGCTTAAAAGTAAAATACGGCTTGGCGCCTGTGGGTCAAGTGGCTAAGGCACCAGCCACATACGCCTAAGGTGGCAGGTTCAAATCCAGCCTGAGCCCGCCAAAACAACAATGGTGGCTGCAACCAAAAAATAGCCGGGAGTTGTGGCGGGCGCCTGTGGTCCCAGCTACTTGGGAGGTCGAGGCAGGAGACTCCCCTGAGCCCAGGAGCTGGAGGTTACTGTGAGCTGAAATGCCATGGCACTCTACCCAGGGGGACAGCTTGAGGCTCTGTCTCAAAAAAAAAAAACAAAAAACAAAAAGGAAACTACAAGGATATAAACACTTTAAAAATTTTAGCTAGAATGCTCAGTTTTCTCTCAATTTTCTTTGCATTCTAGGTCTATATTATTTTATTATGTAAAGGAATATCTGTGTTGGTAAATAGAGGTGATAAGTAGAGTCAATTAAATCCCTTTTAATAAAATAACCCATCCCCCAAATCTGGGATAACTTTTTCTAATTTGGAAACCACTTTCTTATAGGTGAGGGTAAAACTGGGAGAACACAAATGATCAAAATTTTATCTTTCTTGTTGTGGCAGCTTTATCTTATTATGCTTCAAAACATCTTAAAAGTTCACTCCTTAGCACCTCTGACCCTGTGTCTGTAAAGGAGAGTTTTTAAAGTACATAGGATCTAAAATGTTTTCATTTAGAGAAGGCCTTGTTTTTAACAAGAGCAAAATCATTCTTCCTTTGAAGTTTATGGGTTGCTTTTAGGACACATTCCTGCGAGTCTGTCAGGTAATGCAGAGACAGATTCAGACCTCCCTATTTTAAACCAGAATCTTAAACGCTGTTGCCAGTCTCTTATTGAACAAACATACCACCTGGAAAGCTTTCATTAAGATGTTATATATTTACGACTTAACCACTCTGTGCTGTTCACTATGGATTCCTTGTACTCCAGTCATAAGAAATTAAATATAAATTATAGTGGTTAATAGAGTACACAGTGGACATTTGCTAAATCAATTGAATTTAAATTGTTACATTTTGTAAGTGTGCTACTTGGTAAAAGAAAAACTTTTAAATAAAACACTTAAATAGCTCCTGGAACATGTCACTATATTCTCTAGCTAAATTATCTCATCTGTTTCATGGTGTAATTTTGAATATTTTCTCACAGACTAACATGTAAAAGCCAACAAACAGACCCTTGCCACTTGTGTGAAGTGGCTATTTAACCATGAAATAAACTGCTTTTATTGCCATTGCCCTGTGGATATGTCCTTTCTGGCAGTGCTGTCCATATTTGGTGGCTCTGCACGGAGAGCCAGGTGGTGCTGAAAAGCATCGCACAGTGAAGCGTGGATATATCTAGACCTGACATTTGTCATCCCTCACCGCTGAAGGGAAGGGGAAAATCTGTTTTTCCATATGTTTATGCTTTTTTTTTTTGCCTGCAGTTTTGTCCAGATGGTCTTATGAACATTGTTTACTTTGGGATGCTATCCCAGATGTTTTGAAAACTGGATAAATGTGGTACAGATACCTAAATCATTTGCATATTAAAATGATTTTTAAAATGTTATGTTTTTGCAAGATTAATATATAATTCTGGGAACGTTTTCCTAAGTAAATATATTTATAAACTTCATTTCTTTCACTTAGTTTCCTGATATTAAGAAATATTAATGTACCATTCATAAAGAATGTTGAGTAAAATACTTTTGAGGAGTCATATTTGTTCAAGGCTGCATATACCCCAATCTGTAAGAGTCTTGCCCTCCTATATTGTATAATTCTTCTCACTGTACATAAATAACTGAAGAGAATTTAGGTGGTAAAATGGTAATGGGTTAATAATCAGAAGATTACCATTGTGACTCTGGGCAGATCCCTTCATCTGTCAGAGACTGAGTTTTGTAAATATCAAATCTGAGTTAATGCCTTGCCTGAAAAGATGATGTAATATTCGGATTTCATGGCTCTTCCATTTTTAATCTGTTAAAAATCACTATGAAACCATCTATTGGCAACAGCTATAATGAAAGTCTGAAACCTCCTTTTGTAGGCTCTAGCTGGAGTCCTAGGTATAAACAAGAGGCAGACTGTTCTGTCTGCAGACCCAGCCAGGATCCAAATCTGAGTTCCTGTTTACTGTGTGCTCCTTAAGTACTGATTGGGTTGTTGTTGTTGTTGTTGTTGTTGGTTTTTACTTTTCTATTCTCTTTGCAGGTTTGAATACTGTTCCCCCTTTTCCTTTTTTCCATGACTGGTCTCTCTACCTCAGTGACCTGCTTCACTGATGGTGCTGGCCTTTTCCCCTAAGCTCTAGTGTGGGGTTTATTTCTTATCACTTATTTTAACAAGTGGAGGACTGGAGAAGAGACCTATTTTGCTGATTTTCTGCTTTAACTCAGGATCCTAGAATTAGGAGTTAAAAATAACTCCTTAATACCTGAACAACAGATAATTCAATAACTGGTAACATTTAAGGAATAAACAAGAATAAAGGAAGAAAAATGTTAATAGGGTTTATTTTTTAAAAAAACTACATAGGATAAAAATTATTAGAATTTGGAAGAAAATTTTTTTCCATGAAACAGATTTGCTTAGTGAAAGAAACATCTTAGAAACCACCAATTTTTCTCAATGAGAAAACATTTCCACATGCTAAAAGGAAAAACCAAGAAATTATGAAAACCACAAAAGCAAAATGCATATTAACAATTCAGACAATCCAGGTAGCAATACAAGGGGGGAAAATACCTAGAATGGGGGTCCTCAAACTTTTTAAACAGGGGGCCAGTTCACTGTCCCTCAGACCGTTGGAGGGCCGGACTGCGGGCCCCGGGACGAGTCAGCTGCTCAGCAGGACAGGCAGCAGCAGCAAAAACACCCGGCGGGCTGGATAAATGTCCTAGGTGGGCTGCATGTGGCCCACGGGCTGTAGTTTGAGGACTCCTGACCTGGAATGTGTAGAATATGAATAAAGATAAGAAAAAAACATGAGAGCTGATACAGTAGACAGGGAGGATGACTCGCCAGGATGAAGATTTTGGCACAGTAACATTTGGGGGAGGTTGGAGGCCTCAGAGCTGTTTAAAAATACAGAGTGCTCATAAAAATATATATTAAAAAAATACAGAGTGCAAACTGTGCCAAGTGCTTCCTAATTATCACTTACAAAACCTCTATGAGCAAATGTTACCCTGGCTTGATCCTGGGGCCATGGATTTAGGTGTTTTCTCTTTGGCCAAAGTCACAGGTGCTGAGTTCATCCGTATTTGAACCAACCAGATATGTGTGTTATCACTTAGTTCCTGAGACTAAGTTCCTAAAGCTTCTCTTTGCTTTCTGTTCCTGTCCCTTAGAAAAGGCCACTTCATCTTCAATTCTATTTACAGAAGTGAGGAGATATCTTAATGTATTTCCTCTTAAGAATTCATCACACAGACATGGTAGCTCACACCTAGCACTTTGAGAGGTCAAGGTTAGAGGATCGCTTGAGGCCAGGAGTTCAAGACCAGCCTAGGCAACATTTTTGAGAGCCTGTGTGTATGGGAAAAACAAACAAACACACACTCATCAGAGATATAAGCTAAACTCTTGATCTTGTAGATTTTTATCTACATTGAAATTTTATTATGGGTGTTCTCCGTGCTGTGCCCCAGTGGAAGAGCAGTACTGGGAGATGTACCTTGTTCTCGATCAATCAGCCAAACATTTAAAATGTAATTAGTAATGTGAGTCTGAATGTCAGTATTAGATGAAGAAAACACGTAAACTATAAAATCTGAGGGTTAAAATGAATTTCAAAGAACATCCAGTTAAAAGCAAAACATTTGAGAATTTGGGAATTTTCTGTCAAACTTCAAACTATAAAAATTTTAATTCAGAATGACCTGCTAAATAGGTAAAATCAATCATGTCAGTTCATAAATGTTAGGGATTTTTCATTTTCATATTGTTAAATATGAACTGATTTTCAAGTCTGCATATGAAAATAGATAAGCCCCAAACTTGTACTTATATATCATACACTTAGGTATTTTACTTTTTGTGCTATAATCTGGTTCTATTAATTTTTTAAAAGTTTTAATTTTGACAATTTCAAGCTCACAGAAAAGTCACGAAAATAATACAATAAAAATTTGCCACTGTAAGATGATTTTTCCCAATTTCATCATTTCTTCTATCGACTTTTCTCTTGTTCCTCCTCCCTATTTCCCCTGTTTAAACAATCTATTATCAATTCAGACTCATTCTATGAGAAGTAATCTATTATACTATCTTTGTTTAGATATGGTCAAATTATCCCGGACTGGACCAGTGGGAGCCTCTTAGATCCAGTACCTGTGTAATTTGATTATTCATCACATTTTTGAGCACTTTCTCATTTCTCTGGCACTACAAAGATACCACAGGCTCATCTTACATCTTTGCCACCCCAGGCTCAGACTCAGCCTATTCTTCAAGGAGTCATTATTCCCCTTTAGTGGGAAATAGTATTTAGAAACTAGACCTTTTCTACTTTTTTTTTTTTTTTTACAGTATTCTTTTTACAGATTTTCAGACAAGTTAAATTAGATGTAAGGTAGTCTGAGGTACAGATCTGTATATTAAAATTAAATAGATTGCTCCAGCAATAAAATATAAAACCAAAGACACTGGTCTTTTAGCTCTTCAGGAATACGGATTCAGGGAGACAATCTGATTTAGTTTTAAATAATATCATATATTTAAATGACATCAAATGACATGTATTTTATATTACATCTCATATCCATTGTTTTCTCTAACTTACAGATACATTTTCCAAAATCATGAAAGTTGGCGAAGGAAAATGTGAAATAGATAAAATAAAGAGGGGAAGAAAAGGCAGCTGTCTACCATCTGTAAAGGGAATTACAAATTTAGGAAATACATGCTTTTTTAATGCAATCATGCAGGTAAGAGTCATCAGAAAACTTTGTAAAATAAAAAAGATTATTTAAATTTACATGATCATTGACAGATTGTCAAATGATGACTGTTCTAGAAATTTCTGTTTATGAAATTTAGACTCTCTGTGGTCCTTGTCATATACATACGAACACTTTTCACACAGTGCATCTGAGAGATCTTTGGTGAATTTTACCGTAACTCCATAATGGTAACACTTACTAAATGGTAAATGTATTTAATTAAATTTAAAAAATATTTTTTGAAATAGATGTTTTTGCTATGCAAGATGAAATTTGAAACTTTGAGAGTATTCCATAAAATCAGAGGCATATTCTGACTGACTCTGAAGACTTACGATTTCTTTTAGAATTTGGCACATACTTACATTCTTAAGGAACTGATGAATGAGATCAAAGAAAATAATACAAAACTCAAGATTTTTCCTCCCTCAGACTCTCAGCTGGTGAGTAACAAGTATAACTATTTAGGTAATAGCTGTCTTGAAATCTTTCCATTGGGATAGTGATCTGAGGACTTTCAGTAGGAATAGTAATCAGTAACTTAAAAGTGTTATATGAAAACAATCAGATGTAAAATTTCTAAAATAACTTTAAGATATGTCACAGTTCAAATATATCATGGGTCACATAATTCAAAGATATTGAGACAGCTTTTAAGCAAACATACTGGGAAAAAAACAAAAGATACTTAACGATTGAAATGCCTAGGACTGCTATTTTATATTTACTGGTGACTTTTTTTTTTTAAACTTAGCATTTTTGTCCCGTAAAGGCAGATTAAATTTTTTTTTTTTTATTTGAGACAGAGCCTCAAGCTGTCCCCCTGGGTAGAGTGCCGTGGCATCAAAGCTCACAGCAACCTCCAACTCCTAGGCTCAAGCGAGTCTCCTGCCTCAGCCTCCCAAGTAGCTGGGACCACAGGCACCCGCCACAACGCCCGGCTATTTTTTGGTTGGAGCCGTCAATGTTGTTTGGCAGCCGGGGCTGGATTTGAACCCGCCACCTTAGGTGTATGTGGCTGGTGCCTTAGCCACTTGAGCCACAGGCGCCGAGCCGGCAGATTAAATTTTAATAGTGAACATCTAATGGCTTTTTGAAACATAGTCCGGTGGTGGGTTTTTTTAAGCTAGTGAAAAAAGGAGGGAAAAAAGCATCCTTTGACATTCAGAAGCTGGTCTGGCACCTGAATCTGGCTTTGCTGCTCACATCATCTCCTAGAATACCAACCTCAGACTGTTTCCCTGAGACCATGATAAAATGTGACAGAGCAAATCCACTTCTAATTTTGTCTAAATACGTACAAATCCCCCCCCAGACTCTGCCATCTAGAAAATCGGGAACACCTTCTCTCAGCCAAAATGAGATGTGACTGCTGCCACTTGAGCAGCTGTAGATTATCCTCACTTCAGTACTTCCCCCACCAAGATGAGATTTATTGAGATGACCAACCACAGAATTACCCCTACTTCCTGGTGGCTTTCCGTTTAGAGTAAGCTCCTCCTTCCCTAGACCCTCTTTCAAATTACCCAACAGAAACCCAAATCCTATAGAGGTTCTTCATGACACCGTCTTACCAGACACTGGGTGTTTCCTCATGGTGAGCCTCTCCTGCCCGCCAGCAGGCATTAAAGCCCCCTTTTAACTATAGCTGTGCGGCTAGTGGACTTTGACTGGAGGGCATTGACACTAGTAATGATGATTTTAGTTAGAAATTGATCTGTGTGTGTGTATTTGTAGCTCATGATCTGGCTTTTGTAAACAATTCAGAAAGAATTCTAAAAACTGCTCAGCCTAATGTAGTAATCTCAGCTCCTTCCCCCTTTCCCCCTTGTTGCATTCTCAGACTTTGTTTCCAAGTTCAAGTGTACTTTTAAAACTATTTTCTCATTTGATTCTAGAGTTTTTACTTTATATAAAAACACTTAATTGAAAATAGGGGAACTGCAACTTGGTACTTATGCTTTAAAATTCTTAGATTTTACTTTTGACCCTTGTAACTTCCAGTTAACCTGTCAGAAAACACCTAAATACTTTAATTTTTAGGGCACTTCTAGGTTTGCAGCAAAACAAAGATTTCCTATTCAGAAGCTATGGAAAATTATACCCTGTCCTTCTAGAGGTTGTAGCCAGATGGTAGACTTCTAAGGATAGTTGGTGTGAAATATATTTGTAACAAGTAGTTCATGAATATAGGAATAAGATGCCATATTTGAGAGTTGTCTTAACACTTTTTAATATCCCAAGATTATATTTGGGATCTGCTTCTTATCCTTTAGAAGAGGGTGTTATTTGTGGGGATAACATTTTAGATATAAAAACTTAGGGGGGATTTTAGGATTAAATTGGTTAATCTTTTGTCTAATTTTAGCTGCTTTTTCAAGCTTTTTGTCTCTACCTCTTACAAGAAGAAGATGGTATACTGATTTTTCACATAATTCCTCATTGTTAGTTTTACTAGTAAAATATTTAGGGAAAAGAAAAATGTTTTGCTAGTTAATTTATTTGTGGAGATGTTTAAATACCAAATTAGTAATTTTACTTGTAGGAGAGCACATTAAGGGACAGTTATAAGAACTAAAGGTGGGGCTCAGCACGTGTGCTCTGTGGTTAGGGCACCAGCCACATGCACTGGGGCTGGTAGGTTCACACCCAGCCAGGGCCTGCTCAACATTGAAAATACTAACAACAACAACAACAAAAAATAGCCGGGCCCTGTGGAAGGTGCCTGTAGTCCCAGCTACTGGGAGGCTGAGGCTAGAGATTCACTTAAGCCCAAGAGTTTGGGGTTGTTGTGAGCTGTGACACCACGGCACTCTACCCAGGGCAACAGCTTGAGACTCTGCCTCAAAAAAAAAAGATTTCACTCAAGCTAATTTTTTTTTAAGGGCAGGATATTAAAATACCTGTTTTTCAAGACAAGGCAGTCAATTCTGTTTTCTATTTTTTTAATATATTTTACTTATGAAAGAATGAAGTTTCCTAGTATACTTGAGGTGGTTTAGTTCCAAAGTCTAACTCTTGGATTTTTAATATTGTAAAATTGTGTATTTCTGACATAGTTAATTGTTTTTAAAGGACCCATTAGTGGTGGAACTTTCAAGCCCTGGACCACTGACCTCAGCCTTGTTCCTGTTTCTTCACAGCATGGAAACTGGGAAAGGACCACTTTCTCCTACAGTTCTTTTTAATCAGCTTTGTCAGAAGTAGGTGCATCTATGTTTGTAATATAAAAATCGTGAGTTACAGAATAGTTATATAGGCTCGGTGCCTGTGGCTCAAGTGGCTAAAGTGCCAGCCACATACACCTAAGGTGGTGGGTTCGAATCCAGCCCGGGCCCGCCAAAGAATGATGATGGCTGCAACCAAAAAATGGCCAGGCGTTGTGGAGGGCGCCTGTAGTCCCAGCTACTTGGGAGGCGGAGGCAGGAGACTCGCTTGAGCCCAGGAGTTGGAGGTTGCTGTGAGCTGTGATGCCATGGCACTCTACCCAGGGGGACAGCTTGAGGCTCCTGTCTCCAAAAAAAAAAAAAAAAAGTTATATATTCATCACTTGAGTTTCACTCTTACTGTGACTTTGCTATTACTACCCAAAGTATTGAGAGAATTACCAAGTCTTAGTTGCAGCTCTGTGCTTTATGAAACTACATTTATTAAATTTCTAAAGGAATGGTTGTTTATACCCATTCCATATTTAAGGAATTAAGTAGCTCACCTAGTCTCAGCTTAACAAATCTAGGAATCAAGTAGAGGTCCATCCCGACCTGGAAGCCCAGGATGTAATACCTTCAAGTAAGAAAACACAAAATTATAAAATCTAGGCTCAGAGCCCTTTAGCACAGTGGTTATGGCACCAGCCACATGCACCAAAGCTGGCGGGTTTGAAGCCAGCCCCAGCCAGCTAAACAATGACAACTGCAACAACAAAAAAAATAGTTGGGCATTGTAGCAGGCACCTGTAGTCCCAGCTACTTGGGAGGCTGAGGCAAGAGAAGCCCTTAAACCCAAGAGTTTGAGGTTGCTGTGAGCTGTGACACCACAGCTCTCTACTGGGATAGAATTTTTTTGAGATTCTTTCTCCAAAAAAAATTATATAATCTAGACAGGACTCTTAAGAGATAATCTAATCTAGGTGCCTTATTTATAATGTGCTTTGGGGCAAATAGTTTAAGTGAGTTTCTCAAGGTGTTGCTGTATATTTAAAAACAAAATCACTTGTGGACCTATAAGTAAACACATATCATAGAGGATCTAACTTTAATGCGTTCATTTGTTTCCTCTACAAAATGAGCTTGCAGTGCACCAGGTACTTGCTAGAATCCAGGAGTACACAATATATGATGTATTAAAGAACGCTGTCCTCATAGAACTCACAAGTTCACAATTGCTGAAATATGTGGAAGGAGAAATT